TTGCCTCTGTAGGGGATAATATTGTCAGACAAATCAGACCATCACTTTTTAGGCATCTTAAATAACAGCCTGTCTATGGGTGAAACGAAGAAAAGAACCCTATAACCTCATAATTACCTTTTCGCTTCTCTTCAAATGTTGACTTCAAGAAAAAATGCCTCTTGTTTTCAGATTGTGGTCTTGATTTGACATTTCTGTTTAGAGTTCTGCAGAAAATGAGCACTGTTAATTGCAGGTGTATTAAATGAATGCCTGAGCTTGCAAGGTGGGGCTTCTTACTGCAAACAATTGAATGACTGAAATATCTTTTAAGCTGTTTGCATTGTATTGGGAGTAATTAAGACTGCACTTTCAGGCAGTTACAGCAGTTCAGCTGATCACAATTTGCAGAGCCCAACGGCTTGGCTGCTAATAATTTTCTGTGCTATAGGAAATTCTAGACAGGTCAGTGGGACTACTTGTAGTGCCCAACCCCACAGCCCGTACGACAAGTTGATGCGGTTAAATAATTCTTCTTTTGTGGTAACCCTTCATTTCAGGGCTCATCAAGCCAATGTTAGAACTCTTGTGGATGTTGGTGGTTTGAGATTAAGCATTAAATACGTGTTTAAGTCTTGAACCAACCCTGCATCTGCTGTAACCACTGAGAATGGCTGAATTGCAGCTACCGCAGACCTGACCCTGCTGAGGGCAGAGACCTCTCTTGTCAAGTACTGACCTGACTTGTCACTCTATGAGCAAACATCCAGGAGCAAGAGTCCAAAAGTCTCCACATCTTAGGAAAAGAAGCCAAATGGACATCCACAAGCACTTGTTCTCCTGTTTTCCAAAGCAAGAAAAAAAATCCAGCTCAGGTCAAAGCAATTTTCCTCTCTTTGACTACATTAATTTTTTTTAGACTTTGTTCTTAGCACTCCTTATACAAAAATCCATTCATTAATATTTTACTCTTCTGTGTTTGAGCACAAACTGCAATTAGGTGCATTCTGTGTGCAAGGTTTAAAGTACAGACTAAGGATAGAGAATAAAACAGCAATGCAATTAACTGTCTGTCAGGTTTTATAATATTTCAGGCTGTGGATACGATTCCTACCTTGGAAACTAACATTAAAAATGATGCTTTCTTTTCCTTGGGAATAAACGCTGCTGGAAAGGCTGGATGCACGATGGCATTGTGAGAGGCTCCTGACCACAGGATCAAGTAAGCTGGTGGCAGGTTCTGCTCCTCCCCGCCTGGCGTTGACTCCCCATGGGATGGATGATGGATGCACCCTCAGCAGGGGAATGGTGAGGTCTTCTCAATCAACTTTCACAACCTACTTCCCTGAAGTGCTCGAGATGCCCCGGAGGGATCCCATGGAGTGATGCAGTGGTTCCAGAATGCTCAGGGCTTTGGTTCATAAACACAGAGCTCATTAGGGAAAAAAAGTAGTCTTATGGTTTGAGGAACTCACAACAATTTATTGTTGTTTAGACCAGATGACCCCTTCCCACCCAGGAAGGGGAATCAGGGAAGAAACAAGGAAAGCTAAAGGCTGAAATAAAGATTTAATAGAATAAAGCTAAATAATTAACAACACTAAAGAACCAGTATTGATCCCAAAACCAGTATAAAATACACCAGGACTATCCCCAGCCCATTCTATCCCAGGAAGCCATGCAGTTCCTGAAGAAACAGCCAGTGTGGGACACTGTGTGTGCTGTGGCTTCAGCAGGAAGGGAAGGGCTCAGGGCTCCAGCACCAGGGCAAGGAGTTCTCAGGATCCCAGCCATCAAGGGAGAGAGAAATAAATTGGAAAGTTTGCTGAGGAGTTCTATTGAATGTGGTGTTCATGGTATGAAATAATCCTGTTGGCAGTTTGGGTCAATTGCCTGGGTCTTGTTCCTCCTCGTCCCTGCACCTGGTGAGCTCCAAAACACTGCGACCTTGAAACCACCAAACCATAGCTGGCTATAAAGTAAATATTTTCACCAATTCAGACACCAGAGCCTTCTAAAAATGCAGTTTTTCCAAGTGTTAGAAGGGGCCATACTGCAAAAATTGCTGAAAGAGAAATTAATCCTGTGTCTCTCAAACCAGGGCAAGTAACAACAGTCAAACTCCAGAACATAAGCTGAGGAGTCACGTTCTTCTCTAGAGAATGTTATAATTTATTTTTACAGTAAGTCGGACTTTCCATTTTGTGTTACTTTGCCATAGATGACATTTCTCCTCTGGCCACAGACCCTCTAAGTCATGGGGTCATCAGGAGCAACAGGCTGCAGAGGACACTGGCCTCATGAAATGCTCAGCCTTTGTACGAGATCTGGAAGGAGCTGATGGGAAGGGGAGGGTAACCACTATTTCAAGTTTTTGGTGGCTCCCATGAAGCAATACTGAATTCCAGTCTGCATTCTTCTTTATTTGACCTTAAGGCAGTTTACATCACTGGCAGTCTTCCTTCTTGGACCATTAAGATGTGTTTTTACTAATTTACAGTCTGTGGCCATCTGAGTTGATTAATACTAAAACACATGACTGGTCCCTGAAAGCTCAACTGGATCAGAAGAGACACCAAATCCTCTCCTGAACTAACATCAGCAATGCCTACAGTAGCTAAAATTATGATGTTTGTGCTGTGGATAATTTATTATTTCTCTATGTGGATTACAGGAGTAGCCTAGAAGTCTGGCTTAGACAAGTAACTCTTAATTGTTTGAGGGATGAACCCCATACTAAGAATATCAAAGAGAGGCGTTATTCATAACAGTCCAAACATGGTAATTTTCCCCTGTTCTCCAGCAATCTCCTCACATCACTCCCATCTCCCCATCCTTGTTTCACCACTGGTTTGATGCTTTAAAAAAAAAAAAAAAACCCACACTGTTTATGGGTTTCCAGTCAAAGGAAATATTAGAAGCATTTCCAAAAGTGCTTAAAATATCTTCAACGGGCATCATTTCATTGAAACATTTCCACCCTGAGACAACCTCAGTCGCGTGTGGTTTGCTCTGCTCATCCCTTGAGAACATGTGTCTCCTGTGTCCAAAAGGAAGATACAAAATCTGTGATGTTCCCCAAAAGAAACACTTCCTGCATCCAGGAAAAAAAAAACAGGTATTTGTCTGGCAGGTAAGTCTCCTAAGGAGTAAAATTTCCTTCTATTCAGGATGCTGTGTAGAAATTGTTTTAAGTCAGTTGCTTTGTTGAATTTCAGATGCACTAAAGGAAATGTGTTGCTGCATCACAATACAACAAAAGAAAAAAAAATATGAATGTATCTTTTAAAAAAAGGGATTTGGGTTTTGGTGGTTTGTTTGGGGTTTTTTGTGGGGTTTTTTTATAATATTTGTATGTAAATTTTTATCTGGGAACTGAAATCTCTTGCAGGTCTTCATCAGAGAGCACTGAATTTTTAGCAGCTGCTACAATTTCTGTGCCTTAATTTCTGAGCATGATCAAAAGTTGAAAATAGGAAGGAACAGCCACATGTGCTTAAGCATGGAATGTTTTTCAGGGCAGAAATGTTCTTTTTCACTTTCACCAGAAAATTATTCAGATTTGAGGATGCACCAAGAATAAAGGACCTTGAAAAAAACCAAAGCCATCTAAAATAGGATTCATCTCACTGGAGGGTAAATTTTGGAGTGGATTTATATCAGCCACCCAGGCTTGCCTTCTCCTCAACAGCCACCCATGTAAGGAGACAACGAATCCCACCCACCCCTCTGTGATGGTTGTGGATGGAGCTGAAGATGATGGACTTGGACCAACCTCTGAAAAGCAAAATACAGGTGAGGTTTGTTGCAGCTACAGTGCTGAGAGCTGAACCCTCAGGCTCTACTGTAACCACCTTGTATCCTACCCTGAATAAATCAGGTTATAATATTATTATTAGTATTACTACTTTTTCAGGAACATTTCTGGTTTGTCTGTGCCTCTGTCCACATAGCACTGATGTTTACAGCGTTATTTAACTGACCTGTGTTAGCAGTTATTTTACTACATGTCCTTTTCTAATCTTTATATTTCCTGTAAATATGAAGGTGAGCAAGATATACATATAAAATTCCATGCCCTGCCTGGAATTTCTAAAGGCATCAGTAGAAACGTGTCTTAACTTTTGGAAAGTTGAATTAAATGATGCACTTTTTCTGGAAAGGTAAAATTAACACCCAGAATTAATTTTCTAGGGGACTGAATCCAACTCAAATTCAATTAATAGTTTCAGCCAAACAAAGAAAAAATGGGGAAAATTGCTTGGAAAACTTAAAAATATTTGTGTTTGAATGTTTAAAACCAATATTTATGGCTTTCTTTTCATCAGTTCCTTAAGAATTAATCACCCTTGGGAACATAAACCCACAAAATATTTGTAAGAAATCCCAGGAGAGGCAACATTTCATGTCATTTTAAACTCGGTGATTTTTGTTTGTTCCAAACTAATTGTGTCATTTATTTTTGTCTAAAAAAAATAAAATCAAATCAAATCCGCTTATGTTCCAGCATTTCAATCCTTTTTTTTTTTTTTTTATTCTCATTCTCCAGTGTTCAATTTCCCCGCTGCCTCAGGTTGTTATTAACTGTGCCTGAACTCCCTACTCTACTGGTCACACAGGTAAACGTGTAGCAGCTATTATACTAAAATAATATGTTTTTCCTCAAGTGATGTATCATACAAAGTTTATTCTATGCCTGCACTATGGTCTAGCTCTCAAATAGAATCCCATCTGAGGTCTTATTTCATAAATATATATACATATAGGAATATACAGGAAGGAATTCCACATATAAAGCATGTCTGTAAAGCTCTCTTTGGATGTCCTCTGAAGCTTTCCTTTCAAGGGGCACCATCTAAGCCACCGGTTTCCCCCTCTGACGTTGGGTGAGATGGTCACATCTCTGCTATCTCTGTCTTGTGAAGGACATTAATGTGTCTGTGCATTGCTCACCCACCAGGACTGACCGATCCCCCCTTGACAAACCTTACGTCTACGGAGCCAAAACACGTGGTGATGAAATGCCCAAAGAGAACTACACCGCGCCGAGCGAGTTCATCCTCTTGGGCTTCACCGACCGGCGGGAGGTGGAGCTACCTCTGTTTGGGCTCTTCCTGCTGGTCTACGCCACCACCTTGGTGGGGAACATCGGCCTGGTTGTGCTCGTCCAGCTCAACCCCTCCCTTCACACCCCCATGTACTACTTCCTACGCAATTTATCCTTCTTAGACCTTAGCTGTTCAACTGCCATTGCTCCCAAGATGCTGGTGAATCTGTTAGCACAGCAGAAGACCATTTCTTTAATTGGCTGTGCAACCCAGATGTTTCTCTTTGCTACCTCTGCTGATGCCGAGTGCCTCATTTTGGCTGCCATGGCCTACGACCGGTACGTGGCCATATGCCACCCTCTCCTCTACACCGTGGCCATGTCCCGCAGGCTCTGCACCTCCATGGTAGCCGGAGCTTATCTCAGTGTGGGCCTGACCTCGCTGGTCCACACATCTTTCACCTTCACCTTGTCGTTCTGCGGTTCCAACGTGATCAACCATTTCTTCTGCGACATCCCCCCGCTGCTGGAGCTCTCCTGCTCCAACACACGGGTCAACGAGATCCTCCTCGTCACCCTCTGCGGCTTCATACAAACCAGCACCTTCCTCGCCATCGTTGTCTCCTACTCCTACATCCTCAGCACCGTCCTCCGCATCCGCGGGGCGGACAGGAGGCACAAAGCCTTCTACACCTGCACCTCCCACCTGACGGCCGTGGGGTTGTTCTACGGCTCCCTCCTCTTCACCTACCTACGGCCCAGCTCCAGCTACTCGCTGGACACAGACAAAGTCGTCTCTGCCTTCTACACCGTGGTCTTCCCCATGCTGAACCCCCTGATTTACAGCCTGAGGAACAAAGAGGTGAAGGATGCCTTGAGGAGAACAGTAGGGAGAAGAGTGTTTTCTCGGTGATTTTTCCCCGAAGTGTAAAGATGTCGTGTGCTGCTGGTGTAAAACACAATGAAAATAGAAGCAGTGGGATCCACCTGACTAAGTGTGGGTGGCTTGTTATGAATATTTGCATCTGGGGTGGCTTCCCAGGTTTATTTGGGAATCACTGGAAAAATGTGGTCAACTTAGATTCACCTCAGGATAAAAACAGAAGCCCAGGTCGATGAATCCCATCCCAGAAGGATCTCCTTCCCCTCCTCACTGTCTACAGTCTATCACAAACGCAGCAGAAGGTTATATTTTTGCAGTTTACAGCTATCAAGACAACTCTCAACCAAGAGGTTTTAAAGAAAAGTCCAATTCAGGTAACTACTACGTATGGTTGTGATTGTATGAAATTTGGGAAATTAAAGGTTTTTGTACAGCAGAAAAGACTTCCTTTATTTGGCAGCCAGCTCTGCCGTACCCTCTAGAGAGAGAGGAATCTCCTCTGTAAACTACAATACAGTTTATTGTATTTTTTAGGATTGGATTTATTCAGGTTTCCCCAGGTGTCCCTCCCTCCTGCCTGCTCTGCTCCCACCAGACATCTTCCACCTTGTTCTCATCCCATGTTCTTACCTTCAAGGTTTTTTAGTATTGTGTGTTTTTCCCTACTCTGTTTCTGCCTCTGAACCACAAGCCCTTGTCTCCCTTCTCGCAGCATAATTACTTTTTTATTTCTGCGTAACTGTGTGTTAAAAAAAATGCTTGTTGATGGTTACAGCATCATAGTGGTGCAGCATCACAGTGTTACAAAACACATATATTAACATTGAGATGATACAGTTTTGTAGCGCATGGTTATTTGCCCTGTTGGAGGCCCCTTCAGGAAGAGAAGGATGAAAGAGAAAAGAGACTCACAAGTTTAAAAAGGAACTATTCTAATGAAAATATTAATAAAAAAATAAAAAGGAAATAATGAAATACATACTAGCTCTATACAGTTTTGTATATATATCCCAGGATGATGATCATGTCACCAGCAGACACCAGGGAAGTCCCAAACTGAACTCTTGTGGCCAAGAAGGCCAGTGGCATCCTGGGGGGCATCAGGAAGAGTGTGAGCAGCAGGTGGAGGGAGGTCATCCTGCCCCTCTGCTCTGCCCTGGGGAGGCCCCATCTGGAGCACTGGGACCAGTTCTGGGCTCCCCAGTTCCAGAAGGACAGGGAACTGCTGGAGAGGGGACAGCAGAGGCTACAAAGATGATGAGGGGCCTGGAGCATCTCTCTGCTGAGGAGAGGCTGAGGGACTTGGGGCTTTTTAGTCTGGAGAAGAGAAGGCTGAGGGGGGATCTGATCAACACCTATAAATACTGAAAGGGTGGGTGTCAGGAGGATGGGGCCAGGCTTTTTCAGTGGTGCCCAGGGACAGGACAAGAGGAAATGGGCACAAAGGTCGATGAATCCCATCCCAGAAGGATCTCCTTCCCCTCCTCACTGTCTACAGTCTATCACAAACGCAGCAGAAGGTTATATTTTTGCAGTTTACAGCTATCAAGACAACTCTCAACCAAGAGGTTTTAAAGAAAAGTCCAATTCAGGTAACTACTACGTATGGTTGTGATTGTATGAAATTTGGGAAATTAAAGGTTTTTGTACAGCAGAAAAGACTTCCTTTATTTGGCAGCCAGCTCTGCCGTACCCTCTAGAGAGAGAGGAATCTCCTCTGTAAACTACAATACAGTTTATTGTATTTTTTAGGATTGGATTTATTCAGGTTTCCCCAGGTGTCCCTCCCTCCTGCCTGCTCTGCTCCCACCAGACATCTTCCACCTTGTTCTCATCCCATGTTCTTACCTTCAAGGTTTTTTAGTATTGTGTGTTTTTCCCTACTCTGTTTCTGCCTCTGAACCACAAGCCCTTGTCTCCCTTCTCGCAGCATAATTACTTTTTTATTTCTGCGTAACTGTGTGTTAAAAAAAATGCTTGTTGATGGTTACAGCATCATAGTGGTGCAGCATCACAGTGTTACAAAACACATATATTAACATTGAGATGATACAGTTTTGTAGCGCATGGTTATTTGCCCTGTTGGAGGCCCCTTCAGGAAGAGAAGGATGAAAGAGAAAAGAGACTCACAAGTTTAAAAAGGAACTATTCTAATGAAAATATTAATAAAAAAATAAAAAGGAAATAATGAAATACATACTAGCTCTATACAGTTTTGTATATATATCCCAGGATGATGATCATGTCACCAGCAGACACCAGGGAAGTCCCAAACTGAACTCTTGTGGCCAAGAAGGCCAGTGGCATCCTGGGGGGCATCAGGAAGAGTGTGAGCAGCAGGTGGAGGGAGGTCATCCTGCCCCTCTGCTCTGCCCTGGGGAGGCCCCATCTGGAGCACTGGGACCAGTTCTGGGCTCCCCAGTTCCAGAAGGACAGGGAACTGCTGGAGAGGGGACAGCAGAGGCTACAAAGATGATGAGGGGCCTGGAGCATCTCTCTGCTGAGGAGAGGCTGAGGGACTTGGGGCTTTTTAGTCTGGAGAAGAGAAGGCTGAGGGGGGATCTGATCAACACCTATAAATACTGAAAGGGTGGGTGTCAGGAGGATGGGGCCAGGCTTTTTCAGTGGTGCCCAGGGACAGGACAAGAGGAAATGGGCACAAATTTGAACATGAGAAGTTCCACCTAAACATGAGGAGGAACTTCTTTCCTATGAGGGTGGCAGAGCCCTGGCAGAGGTTGCCCAGAGAGGTGGTGGAGTATCCATCTCTGGAGACATTCAAACCCCCCTGGACATGTTCCTGTGGGGCCTGCTCTGGGTGACCCTGCTTTGGTAGGGGGGTAAGAGATGATCTCCAGAGGTCCCTTCCAACCCCATATCATTCTGATTCTGTGTGACTCAGTGAGGAGGGGAACTGGATTCTGGATCTGCAGTCAGGAACGCACAGATCATAGAATGGATGAGGATCAAAGGCAGACAAATAGTCCTCCTCGGACACTGGCCATTGAAGGAAGAGGCTGATCCCTTGGTCCCTCAGCTTTTATACTGAGCCTGATGCCAATGGGATGGAACACTCTGTTGGTCAGTTTGGAGTCCCCTGTCCTGTCCCCTCCTCCCCACAGGTGCCACCACGGTTTTCCTCCTCCAACGGGGAAAATAACACCGTGAGGTGACCTTGGCTGTTACAGCAGGAAGTATCAGCAGGAGCCTCCCTACATACCGTTCCCTGGCATAATCAGGGCTTACCGCCCTGAGAGCAAACAATTTCTGCACGGCATGCTGCTAATTTCAGAGAGGTGAGGTAGTTGGAAGAAGCTTAGCTAAAAAAGTAAAATTCCTGAAGAGAAAATTGGTTCTGTTTTACTTCAAACCAGGACAACTACGGACAAACATCACCCAGGGGCGCATCCCCCCGCCTGGGCTCCCTGCACGGGGCAGCCCGGGGCCTGGCCGGCTGCTGAGGGACCCCTCACTGGGAAAGCTGAGCCCGGGCGCTGGGAGCTGCCCCGGCCCTCCTGCCCCGACCTCAGGCGGAGGTTTGTCGGGCAGCAGCACCGCCGCCATCCCCTCAGACCGGCTCCCCCGGCCTACGCTTCCCAGCATGCCCCGCGGCGCCGCGGTGGCGTCATCACTCCGCGACACCTCCACGGCAACGCCGGGACGGCACCCAGCTACACCTGGAAAATACCCTGCCGGACCCCGAGAGACTCTGAGGAGAGGTTTGTACGCCTCAGCCCGTCCATAGCCCCCCGCCGCACCGTGGAGGGCTCCCCACAGACCCTGGAAGCGGTTGCGGGGGGGGGGAAGACACATGGGACTACAACTCCCAGCATGCTTTGGGGGCGCAGCCCGAGCACGCAGCCCTCTGATTGGCTCAGCTGGGCGCGCC